GATGCAGTGGTTAAGAGCTCAGCTGCTAACTAAAAGGTCAGCAGTTCAAATCCATCAGCTGCTCCTTGGAAACCCTATGGGGCAGTTCTACTCTGTCCTATAGGGTCACTAACAGTTGGAATCGACTCAACGGCAATGGATTTCGTTTTTTAGTTTCTGCAAAGGAAAGCTCTGTTTCGCTGTGACTGAGACACTATAGCCAGGCTGAGGGCCTGGATGCAGGTCCCTGTTCTATCACTCTCTGGATGACCCCACCCCTCACACAGCTGGCTGCAGGAGAGCAGAGGCTGGAATATCTTCTGCATCCTCCAGGGTTCATACCAGCCCCTCAACAAACACTTACTTAATGAAGGCATCAATGAATGAATGAGCAAGTTTTAATTTTAAAATAAAATTGCCTTTTGAATAATAAAGTCAGATTAAAAGAAATATTCTTTGCCTAACTTTTTTTTCTTTTTCTTTTTTGTTGTTGTTCAGAACATACACAGCAGAATATGTACTTATTCAACAATTTCTACATATACTATTCAGTGACAGTGATTACACTCTTCAAGTTGGGCAGCCATTCTCACCCTCCTTTTCTGAATTGTTTCTCCCCCATTAACATAGACTCACTGCCCCCTAAGTGTCCTAGCTAATCTTTTGAGTTACTATTGTTAATTTGATCCCATAGAGATCGTTCTTAAAAGAGCACAAGGCTTAAACTCTACCTAACATTTAAAGGATAAGAAAAGGAACAAGAAGTAAGATAAACTTAAGTTTTCATTTCCTTACTCATAAAATGGGTAAAATTCTCAATGTAAGGTTATATTATGGCCTACTATGGTGGTGGCATGTGGCAGATGCAGGGCTTAAATCTCATGTATGCTAAAAAGCACTTTCCAGAAGGCAGAGGCTAAACATGAAAGGCTCCATTTTTAAAGACAGATAAAATGTTAGTACCCAAATATAAGGTTTTAAAAATATAAGTTTTAAAAAATAGGCGGTTCAAGACCCGAGTAGTAGCTGAGATTGAGACATTTTCATTCTTTCTGTACATTGCCTGTTCAGGAGGGATGCTTAACCTCTCTGGGTGTAATATACGCTGCAGGCCTGTAAACCATTCTCCAAAGAATGTTTTATTTTGCATGGGTACATGTAAAAGGTTATCTAGTACTGGACCATGATTAATAAAGAAGAATTTCTGTCATGCTTTCAGCCACAGTTG